ACGGTGTAAGCATCGGACCGACCTTATCCTCAGCGGTACAATGATACACATATATAATTGTCAGTCGTTTGCCCACCCTGACACCGTCTTAACACAGATCCATTCGAAAAAGTCATCCCTCGGAGTGGCAAGACGATGACAGAGCTGCTGTTCCGACTACGCATACAGAGAATGGAATCTCGCTGTTTAGTGGATGTAGCGTGACCCTATGCCCCCATTACACCGACAGGACCTCCCTCAGCAAGCTGATCATGCCGTAGCCCGAGTGATAGCTTTCTTCGGATGATGTCTAATCATGCCTCCACTCTTCTGCATAAAGTGGGATGCCCCAAGGAAATCGGTAGCGAAATGCTCCCAGTCAATGGAAGCTTCGGCTCACTGTCGGTGGTGTGACCATCATCTCTGCCCATCAAAGGCGGCGACGTCCATCGACTTGAATGTTGCTGAAAAATAGGAACTGTCAGTGACACAAACCAGCCGCGCGTCGGCCTGCGGGACGGCTTGGCTTGACATGGGGCACACCGTGTTGCAAAGTCTCCGATTACACGTCGGCTCGTAGAGGTGGAGGGACTCCACTGAATCCACTCCTGCTCGAAAGTCTCCAGCCTGGGGCTACGGCAGCTGGCGCCGTCACCTAACTCAATGGTGGAGCCTATACTCCTTGAGTAAGCTGCATCTGGTGTTGGGGTTCAATGTGGACAATGAGGGACTTCTTCATGCCCATTGAACTTGTGATGGCCCATTTCAGGCTGCGGGATCTCGTCGACTTTCACCTTGACAAACTGCGAAAGATTGTCTGAAGCCTGCTACCGTTGTGGAAGCCCAGATCACAAACTTCCGCAGTGCAGGTGAAGTCCGAAGATCCCAAGCCTGAAATGGGCATACAAGTTCAATGGCATAAGAGAAGTCCTTCATGCACACAGTACCATCAAACACAGATGCAGCTGTCCAAGGATGCCTACCAGAAGTGGTGACGGCGCAGCTCCAGCCCAGCTGGAGACTCTTCAGAGGTGGATCATGAATAGTCCTCCACCTCCTACGAGGAGTCAACTTAAACAGTCCCCATGTCAAGCCAAGCCTCCAGGCCAGCGCGGCAGGTCACTCAGTTCCATTTTCAGCACCATCAGTCGATAGGACCGCCCTTGATGGGCAGAGATGATTCACACCACCGACAGTGAGCCGGAAGCTTCAATTGACTGGGGAGCATTCTCTACCGATTTCCTTGGAGGCATCCCATTATGCAGAGAGTGGAGCATGATGAGACATCATCGAGAAAAGCTATCACTCGCTACGGCCATGACAGCTCGCTGAGGGAGGTCCTGACGGGTAAGCATCGGATCCGACCTTATCCTCCAGCGGTAAATAATACACATAATATAATTGTCAGTCGTTCTGCCACCCTGACACCGTCTTCAAAACAGATCCATTCGAAGGAGTCATCCTCGGAGTGGCCAAGACGATGATCAGAGCTGCTGTTCCGACTACAGCTCGGATACAGAGAATGAATTTCGTTGCTTGTACCGTGGACCCAGCCGGCGTCAACGGGAGAATCAGCGAGGCAACTGTTATGAAGATTTCCAAGACCACGACTCACTCCAGTCGAAGAACAGAACCATCAAGTTCGTTTGAGTTCCCAGGAGTGGCAGATGCCGAACTCACAGAGTGGCAGAGCCAATCTTGCAGGAGTGTCGGTCAAGAACCTCATTCCTGAGAGCCACACAGTACTCGGCACACGTGAGTTTCGACCGAACTGTCATGATACCCAGACGCGAAGATATGTCCGCAACGGCTACCTCCCAGACCAATCGAGATGGCCACAATGGATAGCACCAAAGTTGACCCAAAGGGGACACACCTTACGGCATGGTTATTCCAATCCAGTATCATCGCCAATATCAACGTATTGTCTCTTGTTGTGGATGAACTGCGTCAGGGCACAGGAATGGATCCATGTCCCTTCATGGACTCAACGAGTGCATCGGATCCGACCTTATCCTCCAGCGGTACAATGATACACATAATATAATTGTCAGTCGTTCTGCCCACCCTGACACCGTCTTCAACACAGATCCATTCGAAGGAGTCATCCCTCGGAGTGGCCAAGACGATGATCAGAGCTGCTGTTCCGACTACAGCTCGGATACAGAGAATGAATTTCGTTGCTTGTACCGTGGACCCAGCCGGCGTCAACGGGAGAATCAGCGAGGCAACTGTTATGAAGATTTCCAAGACCAAGACTCACTCTCAGTCGAAGAACAGAACCATCAAGTTGCGTTTGAGTTCCCAGGAGTGGCAGATGCCGAACTCACAGGAGTGGCAGAGCCAAATCTTGCAGGAGTGTCGGTCAAGAACCTCATTCCTGGGGAATCCAGAATGCACGCACCAATTTTGATTTTATATAATACCTGAATATCAAAATTAGTCGTGCACGCGATTTTAATACAGGATGTCAAACGGTTTTGGTGTGACTGACGTGTGTGCTCTCGAAACGTTCAAGAGCCGGTTGGAGCTGGTTCGTGCATTTAGGAGCTGATTCCCGATCAGCTCCTAATCCTAAGAGCTGATTCACGAATCAGCTCTTAGTCCAAGAGCCGATTAGAGCTGATTTTGGAGCCGATTAGAGCCGATTAGAGCCGATGTGCCTGACGGGACAAGGATTGCTCTCAATGCAGAAATGGCAACCAAATGGCAAAGCAGATGCATAGATCTTTCGTTAACTGTCGCACACAGAAGCAAGCAGCAAGTAGCGGCAACTAGCAGCAGCAACAGCAACAGCGAATTCAGTTCATCAACAGCGACCAAAGATGTCGGATAGCGACGATGACAGCGCTAGTGTTGACCCACATCTACAGGTTTTGACACCAAACGAGATGCTAGTGAAGGGGCTGACATTGTTGGGGTGGGGTGAGAAGCAGATCAAGCGAAAATCTAAGAAGAGATGGGAAAAATGGTCCGTTCTTTTTGCTGCTGATTTTGGTGTTAGACCACATGTCGCCTGTCAGATTTGGGAGGACCTGCAAACAACAGAAGTTGCCGAGGCCTATCTCCAGCCAGAAGAGAGAAACCTTGAGCACTTTCTCTACGCCATGCACTTCTTGAAAGCCTATCCGACCGAGAAGCAGCGCCAAAACAAATGGCATGTTTGTGATCGAATTTTGAGAGATAGCGGATGGAGCCTTGTGAAGAAACTGGCAGCAATGAAAGTCGTCAAAATTGTCTGGCTTGATGTTGGAGATGACATTTGGGTTGGATCTGTTGATGGAACGCACATCAAATCATGGGAGCCAACACATGAACGATACCCAAAAGACACGTCTGCATTTTCGTGGAAGCATCATTCTGCCGGGTATAACTGTGAGATTGCACTCTCGTTGAAAGAGAGTAAAATTATCTGGATCAATGGTCCGTTTGAAGCTGGTACCAATGATATTAAGATGTTCACCTCCGAAGATGGCTTGTGTGAAAAGCTTTGGTCAATCAACAAAAAAGTCATCGCTGACAATGGCTATCGAGGCTATGACGATGTCATTACGCGCCCCAATTCGCTTGACACTGCTGAAGTATCCAAATTTAAGAACCGAGCTCGATGCCGACATGAGGCAGTGAATGGCTTGCTCAAGCACTTCAAGTGCACTGACTCTGCCGGGTTTCGACACGGTATAGAGAAATTTGGCCTCTGCTTCGAGGCATCAGCTGTAGTCACCCAATACCGCATGGAATTGGGTGAGCCATTATTTGAAGTCTAGAAGTCTAGCCAAATACTTTTTTTAATTTGTTACGTGTTGTGTTGTCCCCGTATTGCTCTTTATTTTATTCGTCGTCGAGGCTCTCAATGCTATCCTGGTCATAATCGAAATATTCTTCTTCCTGCTCTGGGTCCTCCAACAGCAAGTCATTGAAATCGTCATCTGGCAGGGGTGGAAGTGTCGGTGGTATACCTTCAGAAACGACGCCTTCAGCACCAAGAACACGGTGTTGCTCGGCAACATCTCCATCAAACTCTTCCATCAATGTGTCGATCATTTCAACAGTTTTGTCGCCAACGACACCTTGCGTTCTAGCTCGGTTGATTGCATTTGCTCTTGATTTCTGCTGTCGGTCTTGCAGAGACGATTTTCGGTTTTCGCCATCGACTGTCTTCTTGAATTTTGCCTTTCGAGTAGCTTCCAAATCAAAAGGATCGTCACTCTTTGATGCAGCATTATTCTTTCCAAGCCCAAAATTTGCTGCCACTGGATCACCACTTGGCTTGTGAGTGGGTGGAGATGGAAGAATCAGCCCTCCCGGTGTTGGTTGATGAGTTGGTGCTTTTGGAATAAGAACAACGGGGTTCTTGCCGCCGCCACCACCGCTTGTGTCGGTACCGGTACTGGTCGTCGCTCCTGTTGTTGTGACTGTTCCTACACTAGTACCACCACTGATGGCAGCACTCATATCCTTTACAAAATCTAATTACATGCAATAGCGATGAAACGTCTTTATATTGTTAGAACGTTCTTCTTACATCATGCAACTGCTAACCATCCAATTACAAACCTCCAAAAGCGTCGTCTGCAGCCTTAGCTCCACGGTTTCCAGCACCATCCAACACCGCCTTCTTTGACTGGTCTCCAAACTTCCAAGAAAGGCGGGCATGAAGTGCGAAGATATCGTTGTTGGTCTTATCCTTCTGACCGGTGGCTTTGCGATAAAGGATCATCTTCAAATCAGCAGTGTCGGTTCCCTCTCCCGCGGACCCCGTGACTCCAAACGGAGCCTCCGTCAACTTGACACCATGGCCAAATCGAAGAGTCACCTTTCGATAGCGTTGTTCAGGAGGCAACCGTTCATACACAGTACGTGCAGCCCTGTGGCCAGTTTGAATTTCCTTTACAGCCTGGCGAGCATCAAATTCGGAGGCATCATCGCGAAAGGGAGCTGGAAGGACTGGCTTGTAGAGCGTCGCTTCGTTGCTGCCTTCAATGTATTCAATCTTGTACAACTCCTGTTGCACATCGCGGGGGTCAACCAACATTTCAAGCTCAATTCCCTCCCGCCATTCAACTCCTCCATGCTGTAAGGTTGAAATTCGAAAAGCAAAGACACCATCTCCCTGATCGCCTGGGTAGGTCGTGTCGATGTTGATGACTCGAGGAGTACCTACAAATTAACAAAAATAAGGCAGAGTGCTGAGAAAAAGCAGATCAAAATCAAAGGAAAGCAACAACAGCCTCGACGCATACTCTTTGTAGCCATCATGGTGAAATCTAAATTTCTTTTTGGCTCTGTGGGCAGACTTTGCTGCTTCTCAACTTGATTCCGAGACTTTGGGGTTGTATCTTTCGTCTTCCCCTTTGTCTTCTCCTTCGGCTTGAGAGAGGCAGAACTTTTTGTAGATGTAACGGTGCTGCCTTCCTCAATTGTGAGTTGTGAAAGATCGAGCGAGAGATCTAGAGAGATGTCGTCACCTTCTTTGGCCTCGATTGTTTCAGGCAGCTTCAGCTCTTTCGGTTCCTTCTCGTGAGCTGGTACCAAGCCTTTCTTTCGTCGTCCTTTCTCCTTGGTCTTGCGCAGCTTGAATGGTGTCACACCCAAAACAGAGAGCTTTTCTAAGTACTGTCCTTGGTCCAGCCTCTTCCACTTCGTAATCTTTTGAGAGATCTTCCTCCGCTGGTCTGATCCTCGATGCCCGTAGAACTCTGGCTGGCCAAGATCCTGCGATCGATAGTCACAGAGCTCTGACAATCCTTGAGCCTTTCCAGTGTCAAATCCAAAGATCCCACCCTGTGCTTCGATATCCTCAGCCAGCTGCTTTTCGATCCAAAGAGGAAGACGCTGTCTCGTCCCAGTCGAGCCACTACCACGGGACACTTGCGAATCAACGTCGCTCTCGTCTCCACCCTTCTGGCTGCTCCTTGGTGTCCGTGTGCCCTTCCCTTGTGTTGGTGTCCTTGGTGGCTTGGTTGAAGCCCGAGAGCTTTTTCGTCTTGATCGAACTGTTGCTTCCTCCATTGTGATGATTTTGGCCACCTCTCTTTTTGGCGCCGAGCAGAAACAGAATTCGAAGAGCCACTCCCTAGCCTTTCGGTGTGAGCATTTGTAATGTATTTGCAAGGAACAACCAAAGATCGCGCTGAGAGTAGCGCATGCCCCACCAGTTTGGATCTTTTGCTGCAATGACTGATCCAGAACCACCCAAACGCACAAACGCACTACTCTTGAGCAAGGATCAACGACGATGGCGGCTATCCCTTTGTTTCACCTGGGTGGAGAATCAGCTAATGAAGTTTCGTCTGATGAAGAAGGAACCGATCCAGGATGGGCGAAGCATCCAGCAAGGGCTGTGTTGAAAGCTGGCTTTGAAGATGGAACAATTCCTTTAGATTACAGCAAGACAATCAGGCCGAGGGGAGTTTTCGATATGTTTGAGGACCATCCAGCATTTGCAAACATGCCTTATGGGGATACATTTACTAGAAGACTACGTGATTTGAGGAAGCAGGTTGGGGGGAGAGTTGATCGAGCAGCTGAAGACCAACTGGCCTTCGACACTTTCCGGAAGAATACTCCAAAGAAGACGCACAACTCGAAGGGAGAGCCAAGGTGGGAAGGATCTGATGCGGAGTTGTGGCTGAAACAAGATGTTGCGGATGGCCTCCACAAGGGAGTAAAGCCGAAAGATCTCCATCAAACACGGCAAGCATACCTCGAGTTTGGTCTGAAGGTATTTCGTGGGCACATCAATCAAGAGGTCCGACTTCGAAAGCTCCACAATTATCTGGAAGACAAAGGCAAGGCGGCAATGAGTGAACCTAGATCGGACAACGATGCCTCAGACGATAGTAGCGAGAGCAATGAATAGTCCTATGCGCCATCTTGGTTGCGGCACAATAGGAGATCGATAGAGCTGATAGGAGCTGATAAGAGCCGATAAGAGCCGATTTCGCTAAGAGCTGATTGACTTAAGAGCTGATTCGTGAATCAGCTCTTAGCATTAGGAGCTGATAGGAGATGATTTCAAATTTAGGAGATGATTCGTGAATCGTTTCAAAAATAGGAGATGATTTCGAAACCAGCATCAGCTCCTAAATCCGGTGCGTGATTGGCTGGCTTGAGTGATATGCACGACTTAAGACCAGTTATCAAATAATTTTGATTTTGAAATTTTACTTATGCGCATTCTGGATTCCCCTGATGGAGCCAACACAGTGTATCTCGACAGTGGCAGTTCCATCCGAACTGTCATGAACCAGGACATGATTGTCCGCAAGCGGCTATCTCCCAGACCAATCGAGATGGCCACCAATGTTGGAAGCACCAAGCTTACCCAAGAGGGAGACACACCTTACGGCAATGGTTATTCCAATCCAGGAGGCATCGCCAATATCAATGCTTTGTCTCTTGTTGTGGATGACTGCGTCAGGGCACAGGATGGATCCTATGTCCTCATGGACTCAAGAGTCGACGATGCCATCTACCACTACCGCCCAACTGGGATCCATACCAGGTATGGAAGGACCGCCAAAGGTCTGTATGGCGTGTTGATTGAGCAAGACCTGCTGGATCACATGGCCCAACTCAACCAGTTTTCACCGGAGTTCCAGCATTTGTCCAGACGGTGGAGGGCAACCTCGAAGGCTTTACCAAGAAGCAAGCCAAGGTGCATTTTCGCAAGAAATCTGTACACAACCTCCAGCGCCCATCTTTGGAGGATACCGCAACATGATCAGGACTGGTCAAATTCGCGACTGTCCCGTCAAGCTGGAGGACATCGATCGCGCCGAATTAAGTTTCGGGAGCGACATGGGCAAGGCCAAGGGCTCTACTACACGCAGACGCCCGCCACCAGTGACCGACAGTATTCATACTGTACCGGATGAGCTGGTGGCACCACACAGGTTCCTGACCGATGCATGGATGTGTTTTATGTCTGTGAGATTGCCTTTCTAGCATTCACTGACTTGCAAATCCGACACCGCGAATCAGCCTACCTGACCAACAGGAAAGGGAAATCATTCTATGCCGCCATTGACAAGATTTTTGATCGGTACGGAATAATGATTTCAAGAAACAAGAAATACAGTGCGACCTGGAGTTCAAGAGCCTGATGGATCCTGTCAAGAACGACATGGAGCTCAAGCTCAACCATGGAGCGGCTCAGACTCACAGTGGTCCCGCCGAGGAACATCCGAACCTTGAAGGAGCGCATCCGCGCAGCCTGGCATTCAACCCCGTTCATGGTGATGCCAAGGTGATGATTGTGGAATTGGTGTACGAGTTAATTGTAAACTCAACCTTTCCCCGCGCTTGATGGCATCTCTAAAGTGTATCCTCCCAGGCAAGATCTTGGAGGGCGGACCACGAGCTAAAAAGATATTCAGTACACTTTTGGGAGCTATTGTCTTGCTTCCAACGAACCAGACAAGCTCAATCCATGGAGCCCAGGCGATTGGATTGCATCTATCTCCGTCCATTGATGGACAACACCAAGGGGGACACAGTGTGATGGACTCGTCCCTTTGAGGTGATCACGCGACAGCATGTCCGCATCCTGCCGATGCCTCGCTCAGTCATTGATGCTGTCGAAAAGAAGGCATACGGTGAGGTAAGAAACCACTAATCTTTCACAACCGTGACTTTGTGGAATTTTTACCTGTAGGTTTGCTGCAGGAGTGGATGGTGTCAATGGAAATGAGAGCTACCTCCAAGCTATGGAGACTCTTCGGACGAAGATTCGAGTGAATCACGGAATCAGATGAAGATTCGAGGATGGGAAACGCCCCAGGGCTAGTACCAGGCATACCAAACAGTATGCAACAGACACATTGACTCCGATTGAGGAAGAGGGAATCTTTCT